CCAGCGTAAAATTAACTTAGGGTCAAACACACCATAACAACAAGTTAGACACCCACTCGAGAGATGAATGTTGCAGACCGCTTGCTTCTCTAGTTATAGCAACTTAAGTAATGACCGTACAACATTAATATACAGCAGTCGAAAAAGCCAGCACAGACTTCAACCAAAACGCCACTCTAAACACAACTCACCTACTCTCTTCCAGCAGCCGCTTGTTTGTACTGAGACCTCAGGCCAGTCCATTACAGACTACAGCGGGGTGACGCAGCTCAAGGAAGAACATTTATGATCATTTCTTCATGGAAATGCATTTAGACTGAGACGCTAAGGCAGAAGAACTACCGCGTCTGCAGTGAAAAATGATTAAAATGGTGATTGTTACTTCAAGGAAATGATAAAGAAATGATTATAAATGTTCTTCCTTGAGCTGTGAAACCCCACTGCAGTCCGCAATGGACTAGTCTGAGGTCTCAGTACAAACAAGCGGCTGCTGGAAGAGAGTAGGTGAGTTGTGTTTAGTTTCTTTGCTTAAGAAATCAGGAAAAGTTAAAAAGATGTCTGGTGGCTAGTGCTATGGCTGGGACCCTACATTTACTGTTGATGAAGTTAGGTGCTGTTCTGAGCATTATTTGTGGCTATAGAGTGGCGTTTTGGTTGAGGTTCTGTTATGGCTCCTCAGACCACTGTGTATTGCTATCGTCCGGTCGTTACTAAAGTTGATATAACTAGAGAAGCAAGCGGTCGGCAACATTCATCTCTTGACAGGGTGTCTAACTCAGTGTTACAGTGTGTTTGACATTAAATTAATTTTACACCGGAATATCCCTTTAAGAGTTGACCGTAAAACCACAAAATACATACATTAAAAAAAAAACCTTTTGCCCCCTTAACTGAAACCTGACACTGTGTTATACCTGAGTTCTGCTGCACCCATAAATTCACACACAAACAAACACACACACAGATTTACAAACCTACACAATCTCCACACAATAAGAGGGGGACCCATTTTCCTTAAATGGGATACGACAATCCAATCAGGCATGCAATCATGCTGAATCTGAGTAAACATGGCCAATTACAGAGCATTTTGCTGGATGCTGATTAGCGCATGTTGCCCCGAGGATACAGAGAGGTAAACAGAAGCAGTGACCGACGGCATGTTGACGTTCTTCCTTCACTTCACTTCCCCTGCTGGATGAGGGATGACAAGTCAGTGTGCGTAATCTGTTAAAGGTAGAATAACAAATACCAAAGTGCCACTCCGGTTTCTCCGTCCCCCAGCAGCCGTTTCCACCCCTGGAGGGCAATTTGGACCAAGATTTATTAGAGATAATTAACTGACTTTGCTGCTCTTGTCTCAGGCCTGATCTTTAATTTACCCACTTGGACAAAAGACAGTAAAACGGGTGTGTGTATTCTCTGTGAATGCGTTTTTTAGACTCAATGGTCTGCTTTGCTTACATCATTAATAGCCTGACATAAATCTGAACAATAAGTATGAAAATAAAAGTCACAGAAGTACTTTGGGCGCAGACTTCCCTCTACTAGCTGCAGCCAAGTAGATTTCACTGGGCAACCTTATCACAAAAGCCAGCAGAGCAAAATCGGCCTGTGGCTCTTAACATCCTCAGGTAAACATGTTCTGACTCAGCTAAATCCCTTAAACAAAAGCCTACAGGACTCAGTCATTTCACTTCTTTCCTACAATTTCACCCTGAGCAGAATTTCAAGCCCCAAATTGCACGCTAACACTTACATCAACAAATTTTAGCATCAACTAAGCCATACTCACAGAGTGTAAATGGGTGGATCTTCATTCATAAACACAATATTATGTAATTACAGCGGAGTAAACCTCTCTTCCACTCCTGCCCTCATTCTGTCATCATGTTCGGTACAGTTAAAGCAGAGCAGTAGAGAAGTCTGAGCACTGTAAGCAGAAAAAAAAGACCCTTTAGCTAAACTTAAACTTAAGTCAACAGCAGAAGAGCGTGCAGTTTACCACCCCACAAGAAAATGTTTCATTAAAGAGGGAATTTTTAATCATTTCAGCATTAGTCATATAAGTCTTTGGTGGCTTCTCAGTGAGGGGTAGTTGTGGTGTGTTGGGTGTTTGTGGTGTCAAACCCTGCATAGAAAGAGGAAGTATGCTCTCTGTAACAGTGGAGATTGTGCTGGGTTGAGCAGAGAGTCTGTGTCTGTCTGTCTGTTTGTCTGTCTGACTGGTTTTCAATCTGATCCTGTAAGTGTTTGGAAGCTTCAAGTGTGTTGGAAACCCCCTCTCAGTCTTGACTGTCTGTCCAGCTGCTCTGTCAGACACAAGTGTTGAAACACTTCCTGAGATGCAGCAGACATCGCGGCGGCCAGCCTGGATCTTATATGTCACCGTGTGTGTGTGCGTGCGTGCGCGCGTGTGTGTGTATTTACTGGTGTACTGCACATTTAAAAGTGAAGTGGAATAAATGTGTTTATTTCTTATTTAATCCTAAAACTTTTATTATTATCATTATTAATATTATTTTAATCTGCTCTACTATAAGTAGCGACGAATATCGATACAAAAATAAAACAATGTGCCAATGTATTTCTGTTTAGATTTACTCAACATAAAATTTGAATTTTAAATATTGTTATTCTTATGTTTTCTCATTTTTCGGCATTCAGTACATGTAATTTCTTCATACTCTAGATGTTCCTTTTTTTGCTACTTCCGCAGCTGTATGTCTTGAAAATGGGAAATAGCATGAGTAATGTTACGCACTGTAAAACGTCTGCACAGCAAATGCAAAGGCATACAGAATCGGAGAACAAAGTGCGTGTGTGTGTGTGTGTGTGTGTTTGTGTGTCATAATGTGGATGACAGTGTGGCTGCACAAGTACATGAGCACATGTGTGCAATGACAAGACCCGAGACGAGGGATGCCCTGCAGCTGCTTGTTCCATCTGATGAGGCAGAATCAAGCTCTGATAGACTCCATCTACCTTGCCTTAACCTTAATTTGCAGGGATGCGGCACGTCAAACAGCCTCAGGACCAATGGAGTCTGTCAGCCAACTTCAAAATGTTTTTCCTCTCGTTCTCTTTTCTGTTACAAAAGGGTTCAAACGTGCATCCACTCCAGCCATAAGAGACCTCCTCTAGCCTCTTCTCTCTTCATGAGGCTCTCTCTTAAATGTGCTCGGGCTCCAAGGTTGCTAATGTTGATGCTGGAATTTTAAGAGCGGTTCAAGATCTTTTATCTTTAAATATTTCTCATTAATAACAACCTGTTGGAAATTCTGTGCCTGCTTTTTCAGGGGAAGGTTTTACATCTTTGATTATAGGAAGATTCCAACCGCACAAAGCAGAGGTTTTTATGTTTAGATATTCTCACATATTTGACCAGTGCGCTGGTACCAAGGTTCGTCTTGTGAGTTTTTTGTGTGCACACAGCAGTTTGTGTGCAATACTTGTCGTTTCTTGGGTGTTGATTTTGGCTGAGAAACGTTGGTCTCCTAACGTTGGGTGGTCATAAAGGACAGACGGAGACAGACATTCTCACTTCCTCAATTCAGCACATGTTTGTGCCTTTTACTGGAAGCACAGTTACTCACACTGATAACAGTTACAGACAACTTTAAATACATGCAATAGTCTTATTTTTTCTTGTTTTTGTCCATATTTTGTACAATTTTAATTATCTTCTGTGCACAAAGACAGTTTGCACAAGTGTGAATGCATGTACTGTACAATACGTGCTGGTTTGCATGTTTGTGTGTCAAAGTACAGCTGTTTGCTTCCTTCCACTGAGTGCCTCTGTGGTTGCCTTCTTGGCCCTCAATGCCGGAAGTCCCCCACCAGTCGCATGTGACATTGGTTCCTGACACCCTCATGTTTACAGCGAGCGCAGTCGGACGCAGACCCCTCTAGAAACGTTTGTCCTCAGTAAAAAAGAGGAGGTGTTTGTCCTCTCGAGCCTCTCGGGAAATTGTCCAAAGTTCTTGTTAAGCGGCTCATGACCACAGTGGAAACACAGTCCTGTCCACAACAGATGTTTGTTTTGCGTCGACTTTGCTCTGTTGCGCCTGGAGCGTAAGAATAGAACCCTTATGGAGGCTGCCGTCCACATGAGCCACTTTGCTGTGGAGACTGTGGTGGGCAGACAATATCAACAGCAAATGCAGGTCCCAAGACCCTCGGTTTCGAGACATTTACTTAAAAACTCAACAATTACCCCTATTTTAGCTCCAGAAAATAACCATAGCTTAAATATAGAAAAAAAAACACATTATGTGTCTCCCAAAACCGAAGTTAGATTTCTTTATAATTCTATGCCTGCCTGACTAAAGTTGCTTTTCATGGTTGTGTGTGAAAAGCAGTCTTTGCCTTATCTGAAAAGAGCCGAAAGCAGAAGGAGAAGGAGGAAAGGGAAATATGGCCGAGAACATTACCACCAGCCAGGTCATTAATGAGCATTGCTCATGCTGTCATGGCAACTATTATCACAGCGATGTCGCTAATGGCATCTGAGACAGAGCAAGAGAAATATGTGAAAATTATTGTCAGATTCAATTAGGATCCCTTCGTCTGAACTCAGCTGGTCCTCCTTCAGGCCCCTCATTGATTAGCTATCAAATTGGCAGAAGAATAGGAATGGTGAAACTCAGACACCCCGATGTGAGAGTCATCACAGGATCCTGACGCTCTCTGTTAGGAGAAGGCTGACCCCATCAAGCAACCTTAATCAGCATCATTTCTGACATATTTCTATTAGTTGTAGTGCAAACTACCATTTGCACTCAGGATGTAATTGTTGTGACAATGCCTAAGACGGTTTGTGTTTCAATTTGTGTGAAACAAAAGGTTGCAAAGCAAAGACGGGACAAAGGTAGATTATCACAACAATGTTTATAAATGATCACATGACTCAAACAAATATTCCAACTCTTACAATCTGGATTTTATTTTGTACTTTTGTTTAGGCCCAAAATTATAGGCCTTTGCCTCTGAACATTTACACAAAAATAATGAAGGATTGCTCAAGGAAATGTGGTGTGGAGAATGATGTCAGCTTAATGAGAACCACATTGGCTGGATGGGCAGGTGGTTTGGTGAAAGGGAACAAGTGAAAAACAGTGTGGATGTTTAAGAGCCGGGTGCTGGAACAATCTGGATTGATGAGTCCCGTTTGGTCAACATGTTTGTGCGCTCTGGAATGTATGAGGTTGTGGTGGCGGGCCACATTAGACGAGCCGTCCTGGATAGCCAGATTCCTGCGGTCAGACATCGACAGAGCTTCTTGCCCCCGTTTTTAAGAAAAAAAAAAGCAAAACCTCACTCATGTTTGCTGGCCTGCTGTCGACAATAAACTCGACTCAAAGGACACTCAGCCAGCCTTCAAACTTCCTGACTTTTTTAACATCGAGGTATGTATATATATATACATACTGTATATATAAACGTTCCAGCATAAGAAGCCGGGGTCTCATTATATTCCTCAAACTAAATCCTGACTTCCATAAAAGGCAGGCTTTTCAAATACATACACATATATTAAAAAAGTATAAAGACATTTTCTTCTTTCTGAATGAACACCAGTAAGGTTTGGATCATGTAATGATATATTTAGAGTAATAACCCACAACGTCTGCAACCTGACTTTAAGCCACAAGCTACAACACAACCAAGCCAAAGCTAACTTTAAGGCTGTTGGGATTGTATCATTGTCCCAGTCAGTTTTAAGATCTTTTGACAGCAATAATTGCAGGTTATCGTGTGAATGTCTTCAGAAAACTTACAGCCTGCTGGACAGTGTGGCTTGTGTTTCCATGTCTCGGCTTTCATTGAAGAAGGTTTATCTGTAAAGTGAAGATTTCCACAAACCTAAGAGAGAAAATGGTGAAACCTGTTTCTAAAAATTACAGTATATTACTGTATATGTAACCTCATGTAACACTGGCTGTATGGTTGGCAGTACAGTGATGAACCATCTTATGTACGCAGATGATTGCGTCATCTTTAGTCCTAGCTCAGCTGGTCTGCAGCAGCATGATATCAAGTATAATGGGTTAAAAAGTGTTATTATGATCTGCAGAACCAGGGAAGATAGACTTAAGACGTTTCCTGATTTTAAACTCTCTGGTAAAGTATTAAATGTCTGCAGTGAAGTGAAATATCTTGGTCACATCATCACAGACCAGCTGACAGATGATGAAGACATTTATCGCCAGTGTCGTATGTGTTGTCACGTAAATTCGGTTGTTGCACTATTGACGTAAAGCTCACTTTGTTTAAAACGTATTGTTCACCTTTGTACACCGCACACCTGTGGCTGAACTCTGAAAAAGGCAGCCTTCAGAAACTGCAAATTGCTTACAATTATGCTCTGAGGATACTCTTGCCTCTGGCCCAGATGGGCGAGTGCGAGTGAGTTATTTGTGAATACTGGTGTAAATACACTGCAAGCGGTTCTGAGAAATGTGATGTACAGGTTCATTTGCCGGTTAAATGACTCAACAAATCAAATTGTGTTGCAAATGGTGAACATTGGGCTCAGTGACACATGATGCTTGTCCCACTTTTGGAGGCACTGGTACAACTGTCTTTTGAAGATGAGCTATTAGACTATTTTATTTTATTTTTTTCAAATTCTGTGTTCTTTTTGTACTGTGTCTTGTTTGTATTTTTTATATGGACCCTGAGTCTAGAAATAAAGCTATCAATCTATCTATCTAGCTATCCATCTGGCCATATAATCTCAAATGTGATTCTGAATACAATACCAGACTACATTATCAACCAATACTTATCACCCATATTCAGAAAAGTTTTAGGGTCAGTGATTAAAAAAAGGAATGCAAAAACAAAAGACAAAAAAATAGTAAAAAATAAAATAAATGGTCAAAATCTATTTATTAACAAAAGTGTGTCCACTTCTGCTAAGGTAGGTGGCGACATCCCCCCTTTAAGCTTGTTATTATCGGGTCGTCTCCAAGTTGATGTATTAATCCAAACAGTCGTCAAAACGTGAAAGGCTAACGGGATGTATGCTGATGATAAAAATACCGTCACTTTAACAACTCTACCATTTGTTTACTGTACAGAGGTTTTGTTTACTAACCAGTTTCCTAGCACCGCATCCATGCTATGCAACTTCTGGCTTTCAGTCTGGTTGAGCTGAAAACATAGAAGAGTAAGTAGATCCCCAACCATGATTTCGGTTGGACTGCCGTGTTTGCATGTTTTTAAAATTTCAGTTTTAGTCATACTAAGACAATAAATAGATTTTTTTTAACAGCATGTAAACGTACTGAGTGTAAGGCGAATGTAACCCTAACCCTTACCAGCCACTCAGCGACCGTCTACCTCATTCTTGAAACTGAAAGGAAATTTTTTGCCCAACATTTTGACTTTTTTTCCAAGTTTCCGACAACAACTTTTCAGTTTTAATCTCAGCATTTTAAACATTTAATGAGTGTCTGTTTAATGGAAAAAAAAAAGTTGATGCCATTAGTTTTAAAAACATGTTAGATTGAAAAATAAAAGACTGAAATCCACCCATCCTTCTAGATTGATCTCCAAAATAAAAGCCAAAAGATTCATCATGCAAGTTCTCATGGACGATCTCATGCCCTGTATGAGCACCTAGTTTGAAGTCCAGTTTGAAGGCCTGGTCAGTGCTCACATCGTACCAACAAACAGAATCTTGTGGCTCAGTTTCTCTAGATCCTGGTCCTAATTAAAAGTAGTCTTGATTGGATCCAAAGTCCCGGATCAATCCAGGGATGGTAAAGCCTCCTTTGGGACTCACATGCTTTATTTTGCATCTCAGTCATCCAGCTAGCTCCCATGGGATAGTGTAGTTCGAGCGAGTGGGTGTGGACCCAGTGGTGGCTGAGGACAGAGTGGTCTGTCGCCGTTTTTCTGTGGCAAAGATAGTGATCAGGGTCAAAGGAAGAGACTTAACAATACAGTTTGCTTTCTGTGGATGTAAACAGTCAGACTTTGATGTTTGGTGTGTTTGGGAGTGTGGGGTTTGACGTTCTGACGGAGCGCCTTCTTGTATGTGGGAACTACTGTCTTATCTTCCTTTATGAGTTTTAAAAAAAACATCAGACACTGTGACTGAAGTCATCAGGTTACTGAGGTTCATTGAGAATAAACTTTGCCTTTTTCTCTTCCACGTAGTGCTTCAGGCTTTTTATAAAGATCGTTTTTCTTCATATAACGACGCATGACGTAGAATAGGTGGGACTTCAAATGATGCAGACTTAATAACTGCTATTACTTCATAATACCGTGCACTCAGCATGACGTGTGCACCACAAGGTGTTTCATTTGAAATCAGAGCTCGCAAATTATTTGCAGGTCAAATCCCCACGTTATATGACGTGAAGTGGACCGACTGTTTTCTTGCAAATGGGAAATTCTTCTGATTCTTGTGGAAACTTTTGAAGCTTTCCCTCCTTTCCTTTTACAGTGAGCTTTATCGGCTCAGCGCCTGTAGAGAATTTGTAGTAGATTGGATAAGGTGATTGAGTTCTAATAACCACAACAAATGCTCAAACATCATTAGAGTCATGACAAAGCGCTCTCATTCTTCTCGGTATGAAATCCTGAATCATCACAACCCAAGAGTTCACTTCTCTGCAGCAACAAATCAAACATTTCCACTCAGACGAGCCATGAATTTTACAAGCTGCCACTCACAAAGAGTGACATCTCTTAGCTGCAGCTAATATTATTGCAGATAAATAAAGAGGATGTGTAATAATCCATACATGTTATTATCCCATTATGAAATTCTAGCCTGTGGCACAGCCCTTTGGAAACTTTTAGACTTGACTGTGTTTGCTCAGAGCCTATTAATAAACTCGGCTTTGAATGATGGAGTGTGTCCCGAGCAGACAGCGCAAGTCAGTGATGAGAGAGAGAGAGAGAGACTGTCCTATGAGTATTTGCTCATTCAAAGATTTGCCCCCTCTCTCTCCCTCTCTGTCTTCCTGGTGCCACCGTACCACACCATCTTGCTTCACCCAATACAGAGCCATTATGCAGCCTCCACCTCTGCTCTTTCCTCTCACACCAGCCTCCAGCCCACTGCCACCTCATCCACTCCGGCAGTGTCTGCTTCCTCCTTCTTACATCCCACTTTGCTGACCTGGTTCTCTGGCCCTGACCACAGTACACCCAGTGGCTCTAATGGCTCATGAACAAAGCATATGTTTCACATCATAAAAAAAAAGAGAGGAGGAAACACTCGATTCAGACCAGTATATTTGTGTAATAGTCTAGTATCATAGGGTAATTACACAGAAAAAAGGGCGACATAATTTGAATGTTGAAGGTCTGTGTTCTGAAATGAAACACACAAGTGTTGCTTGTTTGTTTTAAGGACGTGTCTACAGATAGACTTGTTCCTCGGACAAACAAGGGAAAGGGTAAATTTGTTTTATATCACTGAGCGAGCATGAATTCTTCCTCTGGGGGATGTGTTTATTGTAGATCTGTGCATAACTTTGCATTCCTTCATGCCCTACAAAGGCTTTGACCTCAGGAACAGATGCAACCATCAGACAGGCCTGGGTGGAGGAATTTTAACCCTGCCACCAGGAATGCTTTTCCCCACACCTCCTCATTTCACCAGCACATGATACACATTCCCAAAAGTTTACCCATGTGGCTTCTCGAAGGCTTGTTTCTGTCATGATCACCCCGCACATGCGAAAACTCAATCAAAGGCCACACTGAGGCAGCAAAAACTATTTGGTCCTGGTGAAGCATCTTTTCATCTCAGGGCCGGGATGAGTAAGAGGCCAGAGCAGCTACAGACATGGCGCCTGCTCGCACTCTGCGATCACACGCTTTTTTGATGAGACGTGGAAAAAAGGGGGAGTGAAAAGTGGATGTGATTTCGGCTGACAGGCACCCCAACACGTAATCACACGAATGCTTGTGGCCCTGTATGGTCGTGTGCTGCTGTCCAATACAGTAAACTTCAGGCACTAACAATAGTACACACCTGTTGGTCATTAGTGCAGACACCAGACACCATGTAGACACACCAGGCTCACGGCCAGAATCCCCACAGGGGGGTCCTGCATGGCTGCTGCTGACACATGGAGAGAGACACTTTCCAGACAGATGTACACACACATCTACAAGCATATACCCTTAAAACTTTACGTAATAACCCTTTAAAACAGCACCATGAAAACAAACATCAGGCTTTTTGTGTTTGAAAATCATCCAGTGTCCACATCTTTCCAATCCCATAAAAGGCATCAT